ACAGTCACCATCTAGATATTACTGGTGGAGGTATAGAGTCAAGGAAGCAATTCACCAAGGAAGCAAAGGGCCATGCTTTGACCCTCTATCCGTTTCATTGATAAGTAGGTCACAGCACTCCTGGAAAAGCAGCTCAATTAGAAATACCATGGGAAATACAAAGAGACTACCAAGTTTAGTGTCTTCCCCCATACGGGGTTACCCAAGCCTCATTCTTACAGGCCTGGTAGCACCTCAACTTTAGATTATTTCTAAAAGATTTATTTAAAAAGTATATGTATATAGCTTTAAAAAATAATACAGAAAGGCCTATATGAAAAAACAACGGTCCCCTGACCATTCCTACCCAATCAATTCTGATCTGTAGAGAAGACTATTTTATTCCATTAGCTCCATTTTTTTCTCATCTGGTGGCTACCTTCACATCTTAATATATATAGCTAATAAATGTATGCAGCCATTCTTTTTGTTTTTTAGACGGAGTCTCTCTCCGTCGCCAGGCTGGAGTGCAGTGGTGCGATCTCGGCTTACTGCAACCTCCACCTCCCAGGTTCTAGCAATTCTTCTGCCTCAGCCTCCCAAGTAGCTGGGACTACAGGCACGCACAACCACATCCAGCTGATATTTGTATTTTTAGGAGAGATGAGGTTTCACCTTGTTGGCCAGGATGGTCTCGATCTCGACTTCACGATCCACCTGCTTTGGCCTCCCAAAGTGCTGGCATTACAGGCGTGAGCTACCGCGAGTGCTAGGATTACAGGTGTGAGCCACTGCGCCTGGCGGGAGCCATTCTTAACTAATTTTAGGCATCTAAAGAATCTGCTTTCATACCTCCTTCACACATTCCTTACCCCCATCTTCTCACCTTGCTCATTATAATAAATCAGTAAACAACATGTACATTTCTATCACTCTGTAACTGTTGTTCATTATATAGTAGCCTTTAAAACTTAAAAAGGGAGGTACAAATTTTTCCCTTTGATTTCAATAATTTTTCCTCTACGGCAAAGTTTAAATCTAATTTTCATTTGTACCTCTAACCGGGTGACTAAAAAATATATAAATATAAACCTGCTACAAATGGGACAGATCTTACTATGATAGGCCTCATACATGGCCTTAGTTTTCTTTTTCCTCTTCATGGTAGTGAAGGAAGATCATTTAAAGGAGGGGATATATAAATACACAAGGGAAATCTATTAATGGTAAATTACATACCTAGGTATAAATAAACTACCTCAGATCCTCTGTACTACAAATAAATACCAAACTGAATAAACTTAGGAATTGACCATCTATCTAACTTCTAGGGCTGTGATCATAAATGGCAGAATATCGTATTTAGTGTTTCAACACTGGGGCAGAAGGGACAACATATCCTTGTTAACATAAAAGAATACAGATACTAAAAAACAGATCTTTCATTTATCCAGAATTTTAAAATCTAGAATTCGAAAACAGAAAATTCCCCTATGTTCAAAATTGATGTCCATAATGATACTCGAAGCATTCTAAGTGTTTTCTGAATTGTGAAAGTTTAATTTTTTCCAGTCGAGTTTGCATTATACTTCAATTCATTAAACATGGTCATTGCTATGGTGACCACTATAAATTAAATGGCCAGCAATTCAGTTAATAAGAACCCCATCTCCCTCTTTTCTTTCTTTTTTTTTTTTGAGACAGAGTCTCGCTTTGTCATCTAGGCTGGAATGCAGTGGCACAATCTCGGCTCACTGCAAGCTCCGCTTCCCGGGTTCACGCCATTCTCCTGCCTCTGCCTCCTGAGTAGCTGGGACTACAGGCGCCCGCCACCGCGCCCGGCTAATTTTTTTTGTATTTTTAGTAGACGGGGTTTCACCGTGTTAGCCAGGATGGTCTCAATCTCCTGACCTCGTGATCTGCCTGCCTCGGCCTCCCAAAGTGCTGGGATTACAGGCATGAGCCACCGCGCCCGGCCTCTCCCTCTTTTCATTTGTATAAATATAATTATTCTGTACAAATGTCACGGAAACATAAAAGTATGATACTCACACTTGGCATACAGACAGTCCATCATTGACTGCACTAAGTCCAGTTTGGCTTTTATGGAAAAGTTGATAAAGTTGGTATCAACGAGGATGTGGTAAGGTGGGCCCAGCTGTGTATTATATTGGAAAAATAAGCAGGAAGGGTGTTGGGGACTGAAGGAAAAAGAAAACAAGAACAAAGTAAAACTTACATTGATACCCTAGTATTAACAAAAAACAAAATAGAACTCTCTGCTTGGGACTGTTTGCTGTAAACTCTTTTGTACATGTTCATTGGAAATAAATCCTAAAAAGGAAGGCAACGAAGAAAGTAACATCATTATCTTAATCTCAGCTCCCCTGGCAACTTTTGTCACCAACTTTTAAAAAGCAATTATCAAAAACAAACAAACAAAAAAAGCAATTATCCATTCCAGCTCTTCCTCTAGCAAGAGTAGAGTCGCCATGGGCACAGGGAGGTAGAATACAGGTATGATTAGAATGATACTCCAACACATTTGTCATTCTTATAGGATTCTAAAACTGTTGTTATGGAATGTGATAGAGAACAGTTTGTCTAGTGTTAGGATTATACACTACAGCAGGACCTGTATCACACCTAGCCCAAGTTGTCTGGGTTGAATATGACAGTGATTCCAAATGCTAGGCCATGGACCAGTATCTACCTGTGATGATATATCCATTACCAATCCAGGGCAAAATTAGAAAAACAAGGAAAATGTGGTAAAGTTTTCATAAAGTTAAATGTATTTACTCAAAAGGAATGAAATACCTTTATATCTTTATATAAAGGTTTTATATCTCTATATACATATCTTTATTCTGAAAATATATTTTAAATATCTTTTGGTGATACAGTCTCTCTTTTATGAAATGCTAGTGTGTTAAACAATGGCAATTATGTCTCTTAAAAGATCCCTGGCAAAGAAAAAGTTGATAATCCTCGATAATATCTCCTGGATTTTAGGGGAAATTTTACTGCTCCATAAAATCCAAAAACCTTCAAACCACTGGAATTGATACATGCTCATCAATATCACTTTCATCTACATAGTTGTGGTAGACTTACTAACAAATAAGTTAGCAAACCAGCTCAGGGAAAGCCTGGATTTCTAAGCGGTCTATGGTTTTAAAGGAGAACTTCAAATGTTTGATTACTCACACTTCTCTTTCCTTTAACGCACTGGGATCCTTCTTTTCTTTCTTTTTAGGTTTTAATCTATCCTTTTCTTTACTAGGAAGAAAAAAGTAAATTATATCCAAGGGAGAAGAAAAACCACAGCAGTTAAAATCTCAAAAATCTAAAGTTCCATTTTTTTTGGTCTACAGAAGAAATCCTACTTTGTGACTTCTTCATGTTAATATCAGCATACTCTTTCTGAGCAAATAACCAGTGCAAAGTACAGTACCTGGAAGTATCAGAATTAATCAGTAATGCCAATAACGCATAAGAATTGTTAATGAGTAAATAAAAGCTGATTATATTATATTTCTTTCTTACAATCTCTCATATCAAGGATCAAAATCCACTTCCAAGCAATGGGTAAAAGGGTGACAGTTATCTTCTGAAGATCCAGATGCTTTAACAGTAGGGGGAAAGTATTATCCCATATGCTTCTTATAAAGGGCCAAAATGTAAAAACACATATACAGAACTTAACCCCTAACTAGAAATTATTATTAATGGAGTGTCACTCCTAAAAATTACACAATACATCCACACTAAAGGCTGAGAAGAATAATTCGGAAGGTTTTAACGACCACTCTCTTATTCTGAGACTTTTTTTTGTATTTTTAGTGGAGACGGGGTTTCACCATGTTGGCCAGGCTGCTTTCGAACTCCTCACCTCAGGTAATCCATTCGCCTCAGCCGCGCAAAGTGCTGGGATTACAGGCGTGAGCCACTGCGCCTGGCTTTCTGAGACTCTTAAACTCATTGAAGATCAGTCTTTATTTAATAGCTATGCTTATTCTACACTTAAGCAGGGACACTGCTTTGATCCTCTTCATACTAGGGAATATCGCTTCACTTTCTTCTTCCACAGTGATTTGGATTCTTATATTAGTAAGACTTATAAAATGGAGATATCTTGGAGTTTTCCCATTTTCTCTGACAAAAAATATTTGAGTACCAGGCACTGGAGACACAAGACAAACACGGTCTCTAACCTTGCCATCTTTCAACAAGAAACACTCCCCCCGCCCCACCCCAGGGGAATGTAGTAGTGTAATGGTAAAAACATAAAGAGAATTATACGGACTTCACCGAACTGACATGAGGTTTAAATGCGATATGGCAGACAAAGCATATAACGGTAGAAAAAGGGAACACTTAAATGTTTAATTCCCATAGCCTTTCCCAGTGTGAGCGCTCAGCAGCTAAATTACTGTTAAACACTGGTTATCTCATGTTATATAAATCGAAGATACAATATTATAAGGAAAAAACAAAATAGTAACAAAAATTTTTACTACTTATCCTCTCTGGACTCTTATTAGACTATCCTTGGGCAGTTAATTCCAGATACTCACAGCCTCTGATCTCTGAGACTAAGCATTCGCTTCATGGTCGCATACTTCCTTGTTTTCTTTTGCTTCCCCTTGAAACAGAAATTTTAGAATTAAAAGAGTTGGAAACATATGGCATCTTTTAAAGTCTCTTCTTTTCTCTTGTCCATTGCCTTCCCTTCTTGCCTCAAATACCCAGACCCTCTTCCCCACTCTGTAAAGCATAACAGGCACCGCTCGGAGAAGTTTAAGAGCTAAGACCAGAATGAAAATATGCAAGGACAATGTGTCAGAAATTTGGCCACGGTCTGACTCCCTCCTTCTCCACCCGAAAAGTGGCCTGATAACATCCCTTCTTGGACCCTCTTCTCTCACCATGGTCACGCCACACTCCTGGTTCTTCCGTAATCACCAACGGCGCAATACTTCTACGTCATTCACATACTGCTTCCGGCAAAGGATAGCCCGGAAGCGGAAGCTCCTTGGGGAAACGGCAAACCCCCGAGCCGGTTCCCAGGCCGGGCAGAGACCAACTCTGGGGTCTCTTGGTGGGAGGGTGGAGAGCCCGTCTTCTGCTGAGTGCTGCTGCCCCCTCCCAGGAGACCAGAGCTGGAACTTCATCGCGCTGCAACCCCCGGCTCGGGTAACGTTTCTCTGCAGCCCTAGGCAGAGCCCAGAAGACCTGCCTTCACCAGAGTTCCAGAGAGAGGGAGGGAGGACAAGGGTAGGGGGGTCAGACTCCAGGTTTGCCCAGTAGTTTGGGGGAACACATTCTCCTCACCCTGCGGCGTTGGGGCATCCGGTGTCTACGGTCCAACCCTGAGGCTGTGGTTCCTACTTGGTTTTCCTAGCCGATATGGTGCTTTGTGCAGCTAGGTGGATGATACTCCTCGAGTACATACCGTGTACTCGTCTCAGTGAAAAGAGAAATGAAGCAGTGTTTGAGGGCTTAGACTTATCGCTAGAGAATTGGGGCATTAGCTTGCATGTTACTGCTTACCCAAGCCAGGAAAATGGTGAGAAACAATGGACATTTATTGTGAAACCTTGGTGTGTCATCCTTAAATAAAAAGGGAGAATTTGTGAGAACAAGCAGGAAAAAGTAGCTTTTTTCTTTGAGTACCTGCTATGTATTCCAGTGGTTCTTAACCTTTTGGAGATAACTTATTTCTTGAAAGTTTGTGGAAAGCCAGGAACAATTCTTTAAAAAATGGGCACACATACAGTTTGTAATACACTTTTTATGAGATTCGTGGACTCTGAAGCCCATCTGTGGACCCTTTGGATGTCTGTGAACTTTAGATTAAAACCGTCATCCTGTATACCGTACTTGGCACTTTATTCATATTGCCTTCTTTGACCATCTCAATAACATAAATACTCTCGTTTTTCATATGGGGAAACTGAGCCACAGACTTTATTCAGGGGTCTGAGTCTCTTGATTCCATAGTCTATACCTTTATTTATTTATTTATTTTTTACACTTTGTCTTCCATTCTCAGGCTACTGAGCAAGCTGGGAATGGAATGGGTACCTCTGTCATACTTTTCTTATTGCATGATGCTGTCCTAGAATTGGAAGTGAAAAATGTTATCAGGTTTTTTTCAAAAAAGGTGACCGTTGTATAACCCTTATGATGAAACACGGTTTGTTGTTTAACACGAACTTTGGAGTCTGACTGATGGGGTTAAAATCCTTGCTCTGCCTCATAACTTGCCATGACATTGGGTTAGTTAATCTATCTGCGTCTCAGTTTCTTTATCTGTAAAATGGAGATAATCATAATAGCACTCTTTTACTGGGATGTTTTCAGGACTTATATTTATTCATAGTAAACATGCGAGGTCCCTAGAAGAGTGTAAACCAGACTACCCAGAGTGTTTTCTGTTGTTACCATTGTGTGTCTTCCAACTTGAGGATATGTGGCAGGGTTGGAACTTTATGCCTATGTTATGTTATGTTATGTTATTTTTGAGATGGAGTCTCCCTCTGCTGCCCAGGTTGGAGTGCGGTGGCGCTATCTCGGCTCACAGCAACCTCCACCTCCCAGGTTCAAGCAATTCTCCTGCCTCAGCCTCCCGAATAGCCAGGACTGCAGGCGTGTGTGTGCCACCACACCTTGCTAATTTTTGTATTTTTAGTAGAGATGGGGTTTCACCATGTTGGCCAGGCTGGTTTCAAACTCCTGACCTCAGGTGACCCACCCACCTGGGCCTCCCAAAGTGCTGGGATTACAGACGTGAGCCACCGTGCCCAGCCCCATTTATTTTTTTTTTTTTTGAGACGGAGTTTCGCTCTTGTTGCCCAGGCTAGAGTGCAATGGCGTGATCTCGGCTCACCACAACCTCCACCTTCCGGGTTTAAGCGATTCTCCTGCCTCAGCCTCCCGAGTAGCTGGGATTACAGATGTGTGCCAACACACCCGGCTTATTTTGTATTTTTAGTAGAGACGGGGTTTCTCCATGTTAGTCAGGCTGGTCGCAAACTCCCGACCTCAGGTGATCCGCCCACCTTGGACTCCCAAAGTGCTGGGATTACAGGCTTGAGCCACTGCACCCGGCACCAGCCCCATTTTATTTTAACATAGTTGCACTGGAACTTGAATGTGTTCATAAACCTCAAAAACCTTATTAAGTTTTCAGGTCCTGGGACGCTCAATCGCATGGTGATTTCTTCTCTTGATTTGGGCGTAAACTGTTTTTCTGCTTCTCCTTTCTCTTTCAGACACACATTTGTAATTTCTATTGTAACCTCTATTGAGAGTGTTCTGATTTCCTTGATTGTTAATACCTAACAGGGAGCTAAATTAGTGTAGGAACACCATGGGGGATAAGAACATGCTTAGAAAAATTTGTTTTTGTTGCGTTGTAATTTTATTGCAATCTGAGGTTCTTATAGCTTGTTGAAATGAAAGTGGTCAGATACTCTACAGCATTCTTTGATGGGGATGGAAAGTGGGGGATGGGAAGCCAGGAGGTGGTGTTGATTTGTGATGGATGGGAGCAGAAAGTAATTGCTTTTGGGCACATACTTGTGAGGAAAAGAAATGATTTTAGTCCTTCTCAGCAGTCAAGAGGGTTGTTTTGCATTTTTCTGCAGTCTTGAAGAGAAAAAATTGCCCAAGGCATTGGACACACAGTTTGAACACATAATTGGGCTTGGACTTCATTCCATTCACTAATTGTTCTAACTTACTAATTTAAGTTGGTATCAAATTTCTTTATAAAATTATTCTGGATAATGAAAGACTCCTTAAAGAATATCTTGTATTTCAATGTTAGAAAGTTATAAGTAGATTCACTTTTTTGTCCATTTTCAAGCTATAGTTTTTACATTTATTTTTCTGACCTGCATGATAGGACTTTTTTTCTCCCAACGAACATTAGTCACTGTTAATTATTTTTCAATTAACTTGCCGGCCTCTAAATATGGTAGCATGGCATACAGCATGTTCTGCTTCTGAGGTCTTGATATTGAATTGGTTTTGTAAGAATACCTCAGAGATAGATTACTGCCGCTTGCTCATTCATTCAGAAAGCATTTATTGAGGGCCCATTCTGTCCTGGGCAATCTCACCACAGTCCTGTGTTAGAGAGAGACTTGTAAACAGATAAAGTATGGTTGGTGGCTGAATAGAGATGTGGGAGTTGAAATATTTTAGAGGAATTACTCTACCTGTTCATCTTTCTGGAAGTGGTCCAGGTCAGAGTACTGTTGTGTAATGTTTATTTACTACTATCAACATATTAGTACCATGTAATAGATCAGATTTTATTACCTTAATGGACTCTAGTGTATCATTTTACCTTTTATTTATTATTTATTAGGTCTTGCTGTGTTGCCCAGGCTGATCTTGAACTCCTGGCCTCAAGCCATCCTCCCACCTCAGCTTCCTGAGTAGCTGGGACAAGAGGCATGAGCCACTGTGCCTTACCGTTTTACCTTTTAAATGACTTTAGCTATTAACTAACTTGGGTTTAAATTTCAGTTATTTTTATTTGGTTTCTTTTTCTTTGAAGTAGTGGATGGTAGTAGAGGCAGAGTTAGCTTTTAAGTATACTTCCATGTACTACATGGAAGTATAACTACGTAATTATTTACTTGTCTGTCTTCTTTACTAAGCTTTTGTATATCTAAGGGGTTGAGGATATTTTACTCATTCTGGAATCCTTGGGGTCCAACATATTGCTTGGCATGTAGTCGCTTCTGAAGCGTTCTGAATGCTTAGCCTTCACTAGTGTTCTTTCATATAGTAGTTTTCAAACTTTGGAGGTTGTTTAACCTTGTTGCAGTTTGTGTATGTGTATGTGTGTGTACACACATGCATGCCGGAGCCGTTGATATGGTGTTACAGCACCATAATGATGTTTTCCTGATGGCTTTTTTGAAAACTGTTCTACAAGATAGAGTTTATAAAGATGGGTATTCACTTAGCTTTTAGAAACCAATAGTCATGGTAGATACATGTTTTGTCATTTAGTCTCATTGAACGGTTCCATATGATTTTATGAGTTTTTGTTACCTTGAACAGTTGAGCAATTTGCATCATGTTTTTCAGAGCAAAGGCATTTATTTCGGTGCAGCTTGTTACTGTTGAGATGCTAATAGTTAACATCTGTTAATTGATGTTCTGTATATTGTACTTTTTGGCCAGAGATTAGATAATCTATTAATATACAACATATTTTCTGTAATGTCCCCTTGCTTTTATCCAGAGACCCAGAGCATGTTATTTTAACCCCTCTCTTGTCCAGTTTGGGAAGTTCAAATTCAAGGTACTCCCGGTATATATGGTAAACATATTAGGAACGGAAAACAGTTAAAACTTCCCAAGTGTGATCTAGTTTTTCATGTCTTGGTAAAGAAGAAATCCCAGGTGGGCTGTGCAAACAGTTCATAGAAAGGGGTTAAAAAAGATACTTAAAAAGTTTTAGGCCAGCATTACCCGAATTGGGGCAATGATTAGGGAGACATGATTAGAATCCTAAGGGGGAGTGAGAATGTAAAGGGGAGCACCATATGTAATTAAATATTTTAAAATTGTGGAATAATTTTAAATTTATAAAAAAGTTGCAAAGATAGTACAGAGTATTCCTGTATACCTTTCACCCAGCTTCTTCTAATGTTAACTTCTTATATAACCATGGCACATACTGTCACATTTAAGAAATTAACATTGGTACAATACTATTACTAAACTATAGACTTTATTTGGGTTTCACAAGTTTCTCCACTGATTTCCTTTTTCTGTCCCCAAACTGAATCCAAAATACCACATTCCAGTTAGATCATGTGTAATTTCTTTTTTTTTTTTATGGAGTCCCACTCTGTCACGCAGGCTGGAGTGCAGTGGCGCGATCTCGGCTCACTGCAAGCTCCGCCTCCCAGGTTCACACAATTCTCCTGCCTCAGCCTCCCAAGTAGCTGCGATTACAGGCACCCGCCACCACGCCTGGCTAATTGTTTGTATTTTTAGTAGAGATAGGATTTCACCCTGTTGGCCAGGATGGTCTCGATCTCCTGACCTCGTGATCCACCTACCTCAGCCTCCCAAAGTGCTGGGATTACAGGCGTGAGCCACTGCGCCTGTCCTCTTTTTTTTTTTAATGGAGTTTTTTTAATGGAGTTTGTCACCCAGGCTGG